ATATATATATATATATATATATATATATATATATATATATATATATATATATATATATATATATATATATATATATATATATATATATATATATATATATATATATATATATATATATATATATATATATATATATATAGGGGCCGGTTCCCGTAAGAATGCACCTTGTGGAGAGAAATGAGAATAAAATTTAGCCGTCAGATCTGATGCATCGTGCGGCTCAGATTGCATCCTGCACTCAGATTTTGAGATAGTGCATTTTCGAAGGTTTATGGTGCATTTCGACGTGATGCATTTTCGAACCATTTTAGTGCATCTAATTTTGATGAAATCTTGACCCTTAGATCTCACAATCTAAAGCACTAGATTCATTCTCATTTCTCTCCTAAGATTGCATTCTCACCAGAACCTATATATATATATATATATATATATATATATATATATATATATATATATATATATATATATATATAGATGCATTTGGACCCTAAACTAGGACATAATGAAAGGCGGTTTAATAAGGCTATTAAAAATATTTTGACTTAAACGTCTATTTGTGTGTTACGGTATTCACTTGAAAAGTGACTGGCCTTTTGCGTGCACGGTTTATGGCATCTAGAAAATGAGCAATGCTATTTATTTTGATCTCAATGTACGTGATTCATAAATAGGGGTGGACACGGTACCGGTACGGTACCGTGACCGGCAACGGTACCGCCGGTACCCGCCACCGTCATCGCCGGCCGGGACGTCCCACCGGTTCCGGGAACCGGTACTGGCACCGCCCCCCACGGTACCGATTCCGGTATACATTTTTTGGTACTGGCACCGGCGGTACCGATACCGGTTCCGGTACTTTTTTTTTTCCAAATTTGCTCCCCCACAGCGAAGTCCATCCGTCGCACAGCCGCTCGATTGAAGGAAGAAGAAGAAGCACTGCTGCCAGTTTCCCAATACTCCATAGCCCACAAGCCCAATAGCCCAATTTCTCAAAAAAAAAAAAACGGAGTACTCATTCATCGCCTCAGGCTCTCTCCTCTCATCTCCATCACCAAATTATTCCGCAGCAATAGCCAATCGAAGAAGAAATCGGCGAGCCGGCGTCTGGAAACCGGAAAAGAAATAGGTGGCCGGTCCGGGTACCAGAACCGGTACCGGCCGTTCCGGTCACGGTACCGGTACCAAAGGGTGGCGGTACCGGAACCAGCGGTTCCGGAACTAGAACCGTCCCAGAACCGTACCGTGTCCACCCCTAGATTCATATAGTAGTGGACATGGTACTGGTCCGGTAATCTAGTATGGTTCCGCTTCTGGAATCGCCGGTTTTTGGTACTAAAGGGAGGAGAACCGTAACCGACACCGGTGGCTGGCGGCATGGTCCGAGACCGGTCACCGATTTTTTTAATTTAATGTTTTGATGTTGTATTTTAGTTTCTAATATTATTAACAATGTCACATTTTTAAAAATAAAAAACGTAAAAGAGTAGACTGAAGTAACCATGTAAAATAAAATATCAATCTTAAATATACTCCGTATTAAATATCTAAGTTAATACGGAGTACTTAATACTTTTGAATTTATAATGTCAAATTGAAATTGAACTTAGAATCTTCTTTACATAATAACTTTAAAAACAATGGACGAAATAATATCCAGAACTTTGCCGCTTACCTCCGTTGTTGTAGCTTCCATAAAGTTTCTTCATCAATAGTGTAACCCGCTTCGTGACATCGACATCGGGCTAACAACTAACCTCGATAGCAAACAAATTCTCAAGCTATTCGGCACCTAGTTGCCTATGGTAGTCACTCAATATAATTTGATGCCGCTCGAACTGAACTCCTGCTCCTTTGCAACCGTTGAAAGAAACACCGATAGGATTTGTTTCGCGAACGTAGCCATGATCGTGAATAGTTGCTGCTGAGCTTTTCACCTTTCGAGCACGTCAAACTCTACATCGTCATACGTGCAAGGAATTGAGGGGGTAGGATTTGATTCTCTTGGAAAGTAAACTACCCATAGCAGACTTGAGTAGCTTTTCCCTTTGCTGAAGAGGTAGGCTTGGTCTCACCGGTATCTGAATGGTTACCGTAAATAATTTGAAATTCCACAGTGTTCTATTTGAAATTGTCTTAATAACATCAATTTTCATTCCATCATAATTGAAGAATTATGATTTTCATTGATCAAAAGAGTTGTGATTACATGTATATATATAAGAGGAGTCTCAATCCTAAACAAGGTAGGGGAGACACAAGTAAGGAAACCTATACAAATAAGGTAAGGGAATAATACAATATGTTAAATATATACAATATATTTAACATGCTCCCGGCTACGTCGGATGTGGAGGAAGTTTGATTCCCAAGCTTTGTCTGAAGTCCACAAATAATAAAGAAGGCAGTCCCTTAGTGAAGATGTCAGCATACTGCGAAGACGAGGGAACATGGAGGACGCGCACATGACCAAGTGCTACTTTGTCACGGACAAAGTGAATATCAACTTCCACGTGCTTGGTGCGCTGGTGCTGCACAAGATTTGTCGAGAGATACACAGCACTGACGTTGTCACAAAAAACAAGGGTGGCTCGCCAAAGGGGTTGATGCAGCTCAAGAAGTATATTCCGGATCCAGCTCGTCTCTGCTACGGCGTTGGCCACGGCGCGATACTCGGCTTCGGAACTGGAACGGGAAGTGGTAGCCTGGCGCTTGGAGGACCAGAAGACGAGATTGTCACCGAGAAAGACACAGTATCCGGAGGTGGAACGTCGGGTGTCTGGGCAACCGGCCTAGTCAGCGCCGGAATATGCCTGCAGGGAGTCGGTGGAGGATCGCGCCAGGTGGATGCCATGGGTGGAGGTGCCACTGAGATAGCGCAGGACACGCTTCATGGCTGTAAGATGAGCATCACGGGGGGCATGCAGGTGTAGGCAAAGCTGCTGGACGGCATAAGTGATGTCAGGCCGAGTAAATGTAATATACTGTAGGGATCCAACAACAGATCGATAAAGAGTAGGATCGGGGAGCAGAGTGCCTGACGAGGAGGAGAGCTTTGCCTTTTGTCCACTGGGGTGGAGATGGGGCGACAAGATACTATCCCGGCCCGCTCAAGTATGTCATGAGTGAACTGTGTCTGGTGGAGAAAGAGGCCACTGGTCGTCTTGTGTACGTTGATGCCAAGAAAAAAATGTAGGTCCCCCATGTCTGTCATAGCAAATTTGGCCTTTATCCGCTGGATGAGATGCTGGAGGAGTGTTGTGGAAGATGCTGTGAGAACAATATCATCAACGTACAGGAGTAGGTAGGCAGTGCCCATGGCATGAGAGAAAACAAACAGTGATGTATCCAATTTGCACCCTCGAAACCCAATAGTCTAAATGAAACTGGAAAATCTGTGATACCACGACCGTGGTGCCTGCTTGAGTCCATAGAGAGCCTTCTTGAGTCGACAAACATAGTGAGGTCGAGCTGGATCCTGAAACCCGGAAGGCTGACTGGCGTAAACTGTCTCCTGTAGCTGACCATGGAGGAAGGCATTTTTGACGTCTAGCTGGTGAATGGGCCATCCTCTGGACAGAGCAATGCTAAGAATGATGCGAACTGTAGCAGGTTTGACAACGTGGCTGAAGGTCTCGTCGTAGTCGACGCCAAAGCGCTGGTTGAAGCCGCGGACCACCCAACGGGCCTTGTACCTGGATAACTCACCTGATGGGCCAAGTTTGTGTCTAAAGAGCCATTTACCCGAGATTAT